TATCAGGAGCTGCTTTTGCAGTTATCAGGAACTATTTATTTATTTATTTATTTATTTATTTTCAGTATATAATGAGCCATATCACTGCATTATGTAGGGGGGTGTGTGTGTGTGTATTCTCAATATATAATGAGCCATACCACTGCAGTGTATGTTGTCAGAGCTTGTACACAAAGCAATAATTATTTCAATTGCTTTACTGTAACGTTTCCAACCACTGTTGCTCTCATACTTCTCTGCAGTATGGTTGACCTGAAGAACCATTTTATTACAGAATGTTAACCATTACTATATGATCCATATTGTTACAGGAAACACAACTGAGCAATTAATATGGTCATACTATTTAAAACACTGTACTACACCACGTGTTTGACCATTAGTACAGAGGTCATATTATAGTGGTGGATAATGGTCATAAATACATGTGTCATACTAGTGCATTATATGCTGAACAGCCAAAACTCAATTAAAACTCAAGTCAGAATTTTCTCTTAAGACTAAAAAAGATTTCCTCTTACAATGTAGGAATAAAGAATGCTGTGGTAATTCATAGTTAAATATTATTAAATTATTGGTTTGGGAGATTTCCATGATGCCCTCATCTCATCTCCTTTAGCATGTGCATCAAGATGGGGTACAATCATCACCCTGGGAAGAGGTCAATTCCTGCATCTTTTCCAACAAGGTGCATACAGTGAGTGACATCCTTGAAGGATGGATCTGTCAGAGCCATGTCTACACAGGCGTGACCAGATCATTTACTCACTGCTAATGCAGAAAATGCCAAAAAAGTTGGAAGGTCCAAAGCATGATCAGGAAGTTCTAATTATTTAGTCAATGTATTCTCCCAACCATAAATGCACATCACACGAGCACGAACAGAACTGCTATGTAGCCATCATAGTGGGAAATTAGGCCCAGATTATTGGGATATAGGTCATAACCCCAAGAGCCTTGAGAACAGAGCACCTGTAGTTCATATAAGCCTGCAATTGTTACTGTAGAATTCAAATTACAGTATGACACAGAGTTTTAACATTCCCTTCCTTTGGACCAAATTATCTCACTCCAGAATAGGACAGGATCAATATCCTCTTAGCTTAGCTACCATTCTTCAACAGCTCCATCGAGGGTTTTTCCATGTTATCCCAAAAAAGCAGCAAGAGAACAGCTGTTCCCACTTGGCATGCTCAACATGGGTTGCTTATCAACTAATATTTAGTGGATGTTCTTCCCAAAAACTTGAGCAGAGTTGAGGGATACGATCAAAGCCAAGTTGACTACATTCTGTCATCCTTATAATCCCAATTGCCATTAGAAAGATTGCTTTCTGGACCCAAACAGAAACTTGTAACTGGAAACACCATAGCCAAGGTTTTGGTGAGTGAGAAGAGGCAAACTATGTGCCATCCCAGGATAGTAGGATGGAGAATTTCTACTGTCAGCAGCAGCCCCCTCTCCCAACTCTCCATTGCCAAGTGCAAAACACCATGTTTGTTTGGTCACACTGCATTCTACATCCGACTAGTAGAGGATCCTCCAGAAGGAAAGGGGTTCACAGATAGGAACCATGCAATGGTGAGAAGAGGCAGAGGACAATCTGGGGAACCACAGCCAGCAGTGGAGAAATCCAGTGGGAAGGAAGGTGGGTTGAAAACATGGAATAAGGAAGAAAAAGAAGGGACAAAGGAGGGAGATAAAGATTATTTGAGGGAGAGGAAAAGGGGGTCCCACCTGGTTTCAGACAAGGAAGACAGACAAAGAACCCATTGCTAACAACTGTGGGGTCGGCAGGGTCCCCCCAACTTCACAATCAGACTTTCATATTGCTATACATTTTCATGGGAATCTCCAACTGGTTTGGAACTGAAATCTCCTTTAAAGGAGGAGGAAGACACATTTATTCTTAAAGGAGAACTTGCCTGTTGCCAGAATGGGACAGTTTGTGGGATTCTTAAATGAGAAGGGGGCACAGTAACTATACAATACCAAACCAGGCACACTCCAGATGCAGCTCCCATTCTGAGTCAGATGAGAATTCTGGGAGATGTATCTCAGTACATCTGCATGGCAGCTGATAGCTAGCATAACTTAGAGGAAAGGCATCTTAGGGATTTGGGGGCCCTAGGAGCAGAACTCCTGTTTGTATTGGGGGGGGAGTGGAGGTTTTTAAGAGGCCAGATGTGTGTCTTATGATTTGCAGATACTTAATATGCCCATTTCATCCCTCAAAACATCTGAACCCTCTTTCCCAAATGGGCCCTTGGCCCTCAAAACAGCATGAGCAGCCTGGAACGTCCTTCAAACCAAAACAAGTTGTGCCCCTCTAGGTGAAAGGCTCTGAATGCCCCCCATGGCAGATCTACTGTCTTCTTGAAATCTGCCACTTGTTTGCTCTGGTTGAACTTGAGGAGGTGGGAACCCCGAGCAGAAAGGCAGGAATTGGGAGGCACACACCAAAACAGGGTGGGGAGAAGTGGGAGAAAAGGTTTAGAAGGGAGGGTATGGGTGGGTGGGATCACGGCAGCAACTAAAGGTAGCACCTACCCACTTGTCCAAGTCAACACCCTAGAGGGTCAGTCGGCAGATTTGAGAAGCCAAGGAAAAGAAGAGGAAGAGAAGATGAACCATTGATGATTACTCAGACCAAGTGCCAATGGGCACAGTGGGACACCTGAGACTTGTTGGATGCCCCACTTCACCCCTTAAAAGGGCACCCCTCATTCACTCACCATTCAAGACTTCCATCAGGTTATCCCCACTGGGAGAAAGCCGAGAACGTACCCAGGAAATGCTCAGCATCAAGTGAGGAGTATGGAATTAAACCAGGACGTGACACACAAGAGCAGATCTTGGTTTTTCATCATTGCAGTTTTAGAGGGGAAATATTTTTGCATTGAACAGCTGTCTGAGAAGCAGAAATCAAACTGGTGAGGTGAACCTTCTTTCGATACAGCTCTGGGAAAGGCTTCATGCCTTGATTCCTGCTGGTCAGGTAGCAGTCAATGACTTAGAAGCAACACCAGTAAGAAGTTGATAACTGGTTGCTTCCACACTAAAGCCCTTTAGGTGAAGTACTACTTTTCTACAACTAGCTAGGTGCAACTCAATTTGAGATTACACACAGAGTTCTTAATTGGGAAGAGCCTTGCCTCTTATCCCTTTATAACACTTATTCATATGCACCAAAGGACACTGTAATGTTAATTAAAATGTTCCTTTGACATTTTTTTTCTTGGAGGACTAATTACTGCTTAATTTTTTAGTTTTACAGGGAAGAACTATTGTTTTACTTTATGATTTTATTTTACAGAGAAACAGTGCTGTTTTGATAATTAAAACATAGAAAAGGAAACTAATAAAGGTTGAAAGGCACCTTCTGCCTGGCACAAAAGTTGACTAATTAAGGGGCAATTCATCATTAATCATCAGCCACACTGAAAAACCATAGGAGGAAGCTACTAATTCAAGGCACAAAAGTCCTAAAATGGCTGGATTCAACATAGTAGTATTGCAAGTTCCTTTTTTTTAAGGAGCAAAATCAAATCTGAAAAACCCACAAATCTAGAAAAAAGGTAGGTGAACAAAACAATAATTTATACTCATCTTAAGTTGCCAAGGTTGCTGCATTTTCCATAGCAAATAAGTGAATGAGAATGATTTTAGTAGTATTGCAAGTTCCTTTTTTTTAAGGAGCAAAATCAAATCTGAAAAACCCACAAATCTAGAAAAAAGGTAGGTGAACAAAACAATAATTTATTTATTTACATTTCAAATTTAGATACTGCCCATCTCACAAAAAAGTGACTCTTTAATGTCATCTGCATTTTCCATAGCAAATAAGTGAATGAGAGAGAATGATTTCATGAAGATGGAACAGTGTGAAAGCAATACTTATCAACAGTGAT